TTTCCCTTTGCTCTTGCATTTGTATAATCTGAGAGCGGTTAGAGGGAATTTTGGGAATTTAAAGGAGTTACCTCTATCCTGGGTTCCTGCAACAGCTCATCCATACTTCTGTTTAACTGGAAATATCCCTGCAACTATGGTATTGTGCTTTCCGCATCCTGTACATTCCGAAAATTCGGGTTTTGGATCGTTCTTGTATGCCCATGTTGTTTTAGCAAATCGTGGGTGAGGAGGTCCCAGGAAGATACATGAGGGGAAATTTTGCTTTTTCCGAAGCAACTCGACTCAAGGACGGCCATGCATCCATGATGATGTGTTCTCCAGCCAGCGTGCAACGGGCAGCATCGTTTTCTGAATTTGAATATGAGGGACGGAAAACACCCTCGATGACCGCCTTGTAGCAACCAGAGGTACCTGCCTATTTGGCTATGAAAACCACGACGATATTAGCACATTTTCAGACTATGATGAAGTGATCTGTGATCGTCACCATTTTCATCATCATCATTATCGTCGTCATCACTGTTATCATTGTTATTATGGGTAATTTGTTCGGGAAACGTCGCCCGTCACCTCCGCCCGTATCGGAACGTGACCAGGCCATTTTGGTAAGCCAATTGTAGATTTGACTGAATTGCAGTGTTATTGTTATTATTTTTTTCTTATTTGTCATTTAGGATCGAGAGGTTACGATTCCATGCTTACTGCTGCGCATGATGATGACGAAAATGCTCCGGAGATCTAGCATTTTCCATAGTTTTCTTTTTTTGACCACAAATTTTTATTCATTTTCTTATTGTTTCTTCACTTTTTTCTTACTTTTTTCGAGTCCATGAAGAATGTGATGGGGAGGGATAGAAACGAGTATACTATGTTACTCTGGGAAGTTGAAGATAGCGAAATTAAAAGAGAATTCGCTGCCTTTCAAATCCTCGGATACCAGCCCATTCTGACATATCTACTGTGCATTTCTGTCGCAGTATATTTTCTATTTAAGGTTAAGTGAAAATTTTGTTAGGAAATATAGAAGTGGATGATAGAAGAGGTCGAAAAAAGAGTAAAAAAGGGAAAGATGTAAAAAGAAGAAGTAATAAATTAGGTAAGAAATGTTTCGGTTCATTAAGTCTTATACATTTCTTACCATTACCACAACTGGACCTCGTATATATTCTACCTGCTTTATTTCAACATCAAACATATCTCACAACTCTGCATCTTTGGTTGTTCTTCACGCTGAGTCCATTTCCCTGGGAAATGTTTGTCTTCATTAGTTCGGCTCGCGCCCTTTATCGTTTTTCTGAATTTT